TGAGTCCAGTTAATAGACCAGTGATAGGTACAGCAATAGCAACTGTGTGTGTGTGTGTGTGTGTGTAATAGATTAGATACACTTAATGTATTAACTAACCACTAATGGATCCTACATCTGTTGATTGAGCAGTTCCTGTAGCATTACATGAAGCATAACCTAATGAATAATATGTTCACTGCATATATGTATTGATTAGTATAACTTACTCTCAATGTAACTGCTTATTATTGTTTCAGTTGTTATAATTAGCTGTGTTTCTGTGATTGTTGGTAATGCTGTCATAGCTGAGCTTTTATCTTGTGTTGTGATATACTCAGTAGTACTCATCATAATGTTAGTGATACTTGATGTAGTAGTGGTTATACTGACTATAGTAATAATATGTATCTATACATTATATTAGGTACTGATGCTATATACCATTAACAGTGACTGATGGTCCATATCCAATAACATTAACAGGTATGATAGTAACAGTGTAGTATTCATTAGTAGGAGATAGTCCAGTAATAGTAGTATTAGTATCTGTTACATTATAACTGTACACAGAACAACTATTAATACAAATTGTTGTAATGTATACATTAATAATGTAATACTCAATAGGAGGACGTAATGTAGTGTCCTAATGAAATCTATTATGATTATAGATAAAGTTTTATCTTACTTCATTGTTATTCCACCATATTGTAATACTATCAGTTGATATCTGATCCCAACTAATATTAACAACTTGAGCTGGTACTATAAGAAATACGATGAGTGTGTGTGTGTGTGTGTGTGTGTGTGTGTGTGTATAGTTCTTACCATTCCATATATACTGTATTAATGATGAAGGAGGTCCTTCTCTTCCAATAGTATCAATAGGAATAATAATAAATGAATAATTAGTACCAATAATAAGAGTATCAATAGTTATATTAGTGTTATTAGTAGTCCTGGATTCATTATGTGTATTGTTACTATTAATAGTAACAGTATAGTTGTCTATACATGATCCTGAAGCACTCCAATTTATGATTAATGCATTACTGTTTATTGGATCAATAGTTGCATTATCAATTGATTCTGGTATATCTAGTAAAAATGCATTAAAAAATTTAAAAATTAAAACAATACATACATTACCATTGTAATTAATGTACTTTCTTGTAAATGTTCCTCCTCCATCTCCAGAACAATCAATACTAGTTCCATTTAATGATACTGGAGCTGAATTATTAGTTGCTGTGCTAACTAGCTCTCCTGTATTACCATTATGCTGTGTCACATTTAGTAAGAAACTGCCAAGTGTTGTAGGAGGTGAAGTATCAATCATTAAGACAGTTTGTAAGTTATTCCCATTTATTCTCCATCTAACAGATCCATCAGTCACACAAGTGAACACTAATTTATTTCCAGGGCATGCAATAGGAGGTGACTGTTCATATGATGTTATAGCTTAAGACAGAGACATAAGCATCATTGATATATTAATAACTTACCAGATACCACAAGACCCAAACATTTAGCTAATACAAAACACCAGTAGACGCCAGTAGTAGCCATTAGTCTATCTATGCTACTGCTATGATGATAAACAGCAAGCAACTCAAAGTTGTTCTCTCTTCTCTGTGCTAACAGCAGTTACACCTACTCAACTACTAGTGTGTGGTTACTCATGCAATTAAGCACATGATGTGCATGCATGATTACTTGTGCTAGTAAATGTAATATTTACTTCCAAGCTGTACATCACAGTAATTTATATAGATTGTTAATTTTCTTTTATTTTATACATTAGTTTGTCCATATGCAGTGTTAAGTTTAGTATCAATAATTTGTTCTTGTTGTTCAGTATTGATTGTTGGTAAATCATATATTGGACCAATAACTGCTGCTTCTCCTCCTCCTCCTACTGGAGTTTTATTTTGTATTGTAGTCCCTCTCTTTTTCATTATTAAACATATGATACTAGTAATTATTGCAGTAATGAGTCCAGTTAATAGACCAGTGATAGGTACAGCAATAGCAACTGTGTGTGTGTGTGTGTGTGTGTAATAGATTAGATACACTTAATGTATTAACTAACCACTAATGGATCCTACATCTGTTGATTGAGCAGTTCCTGTAGCATTACATGAAGCATAACCTAATGAATAATATGTCACTGC